CATATTAGAAAGGACAATCAGAAAAGAAATAGAACACAAATTGGAGGACGTACTTATATAGTGGATTCAGGAAAGGACACAACACACAAGACCATATATTCACCATGCAACAAGTAATATAAAAGTCTTAACGAAAAATAAAGAAATATATCTGAGCTTTATAGACATGGAAAAAGCATTCGACTCAGTCAAAAAAAGATATATGGGAAAGCATAAAGAAGAAGCAAGTAAATTAAGAACTGATATAAGCAAAAAAGAGTATATACGTAAAAACAACAAATATAGTCTTCTTCTTCTTCTACTTTTTGTAGATCTTTCGATCTGTTTAATTCTGAAGCTGCCTCTGGTTAATTTCTTGGGAGGTAGATTGCCAACTATCCCTCCATCTTTTAGGTGGTCTTCCGGGGGGTCTTGAACCGGGCGGATTGTTTTCTAGGACAATTTTTGGGCTATTCTCATCCATTCGTCTTACATGGTTGTACCACATCCTCTTGCGCTGCCTTCCCCATCTTACAATATCTTGAATTTTGCACTGCTCTCTAATGTTTGTATTTCTCACTCTGTCTCTTCTTGTTTTCCCCATTATTGTTCTTAGGGTTTTCATTTCGGCAACCCTTAGCATCTGTTTCGTTTTGTTGGTATCTTCGCGCACTTCTATGCCATATGTCATGATCGGTCGTATGCAAGTCTTATAGATTCTAATTTTACTATCTGTGCGCATATACGGATTTGACCAGACTATCTCCCGCAGACATCCTGACAGTGCAGATGCTTTGTTGATCTGACTCCTCAGGTCCTTTACTGGGTCGTGGGTGCTTGATATATCTATGCATAGATATCTGAATTGCATCACCTGTTCTATGGGGTTTTCCTCAACCACTAACTTACATCTGAGCGGATCTTTTGCTATTGTCATACATTTAGTTTTGTTCATAGAGATGTTCATATTTAGTAGTCGGCTTGTTTGAAAGAACTGAAAGAGCTGCCTTTGGAGATCATCTTCTGATTCGGCAATAATTGCTGCATCGTCATACCAATTCTTTTGTTGCCCATTCTATATCCGAGATTAAGAGATGTTACTTTGTTGATAATTTTGACCATGAGAAGATTAAACAAGAAGGGGCTTAAACTGTCGCCTTGTCTAATTCCTCCCGGTGTTGGAATATTTTCAGTGAATTCGTCTCCTGCTCTAACTTTGGTTACGTTGTTGTTATTTAGGTTATGGAGTATCTTTGTTATACTGGTCGGTGTTTCATTTTCTATTAATATATTTAGAATGTCTCCCAGGCGAACTCTGTCAAATGCCTTCGTCAAATCAATGAAGCAAATATACGATGGCATGCCGAACTCTATAGCTTTTTCTTTTTTTGTTTTATTATAAATACTGCGTCTGTTATAGACCGCCCTTTTGTAAAACCTTGTTGTTCTTCAGCATTAGTGATTTGCTTTTCCAATTTGTCCTTGAGAATACCCGTGAAAAGTTTCATTGTTGTATTTATACGACAAATATAGTAATAATGTTAAATAAATAGTCAGAACCATTTGAAACAACTCAAGGAGTTAGACAACGGGGAAGTCTCAGTCCAGTGCTATTCATAAATGCAATAGATGAGATAGTGAAAGAATGTAAGAAAACATTCAAGAAATACTGCATCGGTTGGAACAGAATGCAAATGATAAACGCTGAGATGTGTATATTTGCAGACGACATAGCATTAATTGCAGAAACAGCAGAAAAACTGAAATACAACTTAAAGAAATGGAACCTAGAGGCAAGCAAATACAACTTAAACGTAAACAAAGAGAAGACTCAACAAATAGAAGTAATGATAGACAAAAAATAATACAGACAAATTCATGCAAATACTTAGGAACAGTAATCAATAACAAAGGAGACATCTTAACAACAGAATGGAAAAGACAGGAAAACTATCTCAGGAACTAAATAGCGGATTCCTTAATAACAAAGAAATATCAACAAAGACCAAGATGACAATATACAAAACAATATATAGAAATACAGTGACATATGGAGCTGAAAATTGGATATTAAACAAAAGACATCAGAGCAGAATTCAGGCAGCAGAGATAAAATACCTCAGAAGAACGATCGGAGTAAAAAGAAGTGATAGAATCAGAAATGAAGAAATAAGAGAAAGACTCAAAATCAAAACGATACTTGACTCAATCAAGAAGAAAAAATGGGCATGGTTCGGACATCTAACCCAAATGGACAATAATAGACAAGTAAAAAGAGTGTGGTAGAAAAGAATGGATATCAGATGAAACTTGGAATCTTATCGAAGAAAGAAAACAGCAAAAAAAAAAGATATTTTGCAAGCAAGAACTGTAGAAGAAAGAGCGAACCGACAACAAGAATATGAAACAATAAATAAAGCAGTTAAAAGAAATGCAAGAAGAGACAAAAGAAGATGGGCTGAAGAACTGGCAAAACAAGCCGAAATAGCTGCACAACACAATAGAACTAGAGAGCTATACCAAATTACTAGACCTCTAACAAAAAGTGGGCCCAACTGTCCAAACGTCGTAAGATCCAAGACAGGAGAATTACTTACTACAACAAATGACCAAATAGAGAGATGGAAAGAGCATTTTCAGGAGATGCTAGGCACGCCCAGGGATAACGCAGATGAAATTGTCGAAAATCCACAGAATATAGACTTGCGTATATCTTGCGACGCCCCTTCCAAAACAGAGATAATAACAGCTATCAAATCTCTGAAAAATAACAAGTCTCCGGGAATCGATAACATTGCTGCCGAAATACTTAAAACTGATCCGCATCTAACTGCTGAACTTTTGCTCCCCATAATCCGAGAGGTGTGGGAAACAAACCGCATTCCAGCGGGCTGAAAAAAAGGCATCATTATTAAGCTTCCAAAAAAGGGCAACCTCACACTATGCAAAAATTGGAGAGGAATAACCTTGCTTACCGCCATAAATAAAATCTTCACGACCATCATACTTAAAAGATTAACAAACAAGGTTGAATTTCGAGCTAATCAAGTAGGCTTTAGACCAGAATCCTCCTGCATAGACCACATTAATACTGTGAGGCTAATAATGGAACAATCGGTTGAATTGAACACACCCCTATACATGGTTTTTGTTGATTTCGAGCGTGATTTTGACAGCTTATCTCATGATGCGATATGGAAAATTTTAGAGCTAAGAAACATCCCGCATAAAATAATTTCCATTATAAAGTTACTGTACACTGAAGCGAAATGCAGCGTGACACACAATGGGATCAACAGTGACGAATTTGACGTACTCACTGGAGTCAGACAGGGATGCGTGCTTTCTCCGTTTCTTTTTAACATAGCTCTAGACTATGTTCTCTCCAAACTAGACTCATGACACAAGAGGGATACAATGGACGTTAACCACACGCCTAAGCGATCTAGAACACGCCGACGATATCTGCCTGTTAAGGTTCCAAGATGTGACTGACCAATTGGAAACACTTTCCACTGAAGCCAATAAAATAGGTTTGAAAATCAATATTGGTAAAACCAAATCCATGAGAATAAATGCAAGAAACAATACGCTATTTACCATTAATAACATGCAGATTGAAAATGTGGAAAACTTTACGTATCTTGGAAGTGTCATAACAGAAAGCGGAGGCACAGAAGACGATATTCGTATGAGGATACGAAAAGCGCAACAAGCTTTCAGCATGCTCAACCCTGTTTGGAGGTCTGGAGACTACACTACGAGGACAAAGATCCGCATATTCCAGTCAAATGTCATGTCTTTACTACTTTACGGATGTGAAACCTGGAAAGCGACAAAAACCCTTACAGACAAACTGCAGGTCTTTGTTAATAAATGTCTACGAAGAATTGTTCGTATTTTCTGGCCTAACATCATCAGAAACGAAGATTTACTACACCTGACCAAACAAAAGAGGGTAGTAAATGAAATAAAGTCCAGAAAGTGGGGTTGGATCGGTCACACACTCCGAAAAAATAACTCCAGTATTGCAAAGACTGCCCTAGAGTGGAATCCCCAAGGAAAACGAAAAATAGGTCGCCCAGTACAAACTTGGAGAAGATCCATCATGGACGAGATAAGAAAACAAGGAAAGTCTTGGAATGAGGTGAAGGCCTTAGCGCAAAATAGAACCCGATGGCGCGTTTTCACTGAAGCTCTATGCTCCACTTAGGAGTTCAAGAATCGTATATATATATATATATATATATATATATATATATATATATATATATATATATATATATATATATATATATATATAAAGAGTGTGGGACGCCAAACCAATAGGGAAAACAGAAGAAGAAGACCCATTAAAGAATGGAGCAGTGGCATCTCGCAGATACTGCAGAATAAAGGTAAGAATTGGCAGGAAGCAACACAGATGACATCCAATAGGAAGGAATGGAGAAAGTTCCGAAAGAATTGGATTATAAACGGCCCAACACCGAAAGATGCAAATGGATCTACTAAGTAAGTAAAGTAAATAATTTTCAAAAAATCGACTTTTGAAGCCATTTTTGTAATAATTAAGTATTTTAAACTTCTTCTGTAAAATTGTGTCACATTTCTATATGATTTGCCATTTGTCGGTGTTCACCCTTATTATTTAAAATCAAATCAAGCGATCTTAAATTGTTTATATATTGCTTACAAGTAAAAAATGACGTTTAATATTTTGTATATTACATATTTTTATTACCAAATTTATCAATTGCAGTTGTTAGATACCTGTATCAAAAAGTGTCACGGAAAAGGCTTTTTACTAGCTAATTTCTCTAGTATTATATATGATAATATCAGAATTCAAACTGTTTAAAATCGTAAATTAATAATTATTCTACTTTGCTTTATCGCTTCCTTGATCTTAACTTTAATTTCTTATCATTAAAAATTACTAACAATCTTAATTTGGTGCTATCACTTCCGCAAAAAAGACACATTAAAAATAAACTTCCGGTAACAAATTGAACTAAACTCACCCATATTCGTCTCAGGATATTCATAGCGGGATCTCGTGTCCTTCCCCAACATCTACCTCCAGCATCACTTAAGTCACCTAACACTCTCATAACACAATATCCCACTACATTTTCTACGACACTAGTGGAAACCGCACTTTACTCAACATCCTCAAGGAAATTCCATAGGAAATCATACGGTTTTTTCGTCGAACACAGAGATAAGAAGGAAGACAGAGTTGGCGAACGCGAGATAGTGAGAGAGAAAGCAGTGGTCACTCTCAAAAGGTCGAACAACGACTGACATTTTCCGGTTATGTAAAAGCCGATGGTTGTTGGTCGGCCGCCGGTATATAACTTTGAATATTCCAATCTAAAACCCGATACCAGACGAGCGGAATTAATTATGTATTTATAAGACGAAGAGGTTAGTCTGCATGCAACAAAAAAGAACACGGCTGTATGGAGTCGTTACTCGTAAATGTGTTAATGTTGCGTTTATATATATCTGCTTCGCTTTATTGGTTACAGTCACCTGTTACTTTTCAGTTTTTGCATCATTACTTTGACAACAAACAACAAGATGTTTCAATATACAGAGTGAATAAACATTACAACTACTATCAGCAGTAGTACTAATACTAATACTGCAGTAAATCAAATGTCCTTACAATAAATCCTGATATGCGTTTTGAACATTTCATATAATAATGACAAGACAACTCAGTATCAATATCAATACTCAGAAAATAAAGCGAGCAACAAGCTGTCAGCAACTATCCCTAGCTGAAAAGAAAGAAATACGAACAAATATTCGAATTCAACATGATAACCAGAATTTTTGGGCAGGAATTGGTTATTAACAATTTAATTGTTTAAATGTTTACCATAATAACGAAACTAATAAAGATATACCCTTTTTCCAATAATTTTTTGTTTTGTTTTTTAAAAACAAACCAAACAAATTTTGAAAAATCAAAATCGGTTCATTAGAAGCCGAGCTATTGCAAATTTATTATTAAAAATAACTAATTATCGACCATATCAGACTTTTGTGCGTATAACTTTGCGTTTGCTAAACGTAAAAAAGATTTAGAGCACCTCATTTTAAAGCCAAGAATATAAGCTTTAAAATGAATTTGAAAAATTAAAATTTAACAATTTTTAACGATTTTGCATAACTTAAAGTTTACAATTTAGATTTAAAAAACCAATCGAATTTGTTTAGTATCGTGTTAATGAGGACTATAGTACAATGAAAAACGAACATTTTAAGAATTACCAAACTTATTTTGATGCAGTTTTCGCTAAAATATTGCAATTTGAAATTGACTCTCAGCTGATGAACTTAACTCTCACTCGCGTAGCTCGAGCGCAACTTTATTCGCACTTTGTGTAATACTAAGCAGACTACAAGTTAAAACATATGAAATAGGAGTACGGATTTAAAGCAAAACACTCCAGCGAATCATCCATTTGGGTAAACAAAGCCTTCGACAGAGTCTAACATAAAGGACTAATATTGTAGCATTTCCATTTTACCTCATATATATTAACATTATTAACATATTAACACCGAAAAATATTCTTAGTCTTTTTGCGTCGCTAAGATTGATAATATAAACATTTTAAGTCTGTTTTTAACAATACAAATTGCTATTTCGTTTGATCTTGATTCCGCTTCGATATTGTACATCAAATAAATATGAATATTTCTACTTAGGTTAGTGTGAAAGTGATGCGGGAAAGAGAATGCTTTGGATGATGAGAACACTCTCGGTAGACCCGATGAAAAAGCAGTCGGTTTCATTGTTTTGGATCCAGATTTTCTTAAAATTCGTTATAGTTATTCGTTTTTGTCATAGGAAATTCCAATTAGCAGTCACAAGGAGAAGCAGATTGACTTCAGAAAGATAGAGTTGGTTCCCTATTTATCTTTGTAAAGTGAGATAATCACCGGCCTGTTGCTGTATGTAAGGTTTTAAGAAGTCCACATGATTTTAAGTAAAAATTAAGTAGCCGAATTTTGAAAAATACGTTTTGTTATCATCAGGATACTCTGAAGCACATTTCAATGTTCGACCTCCCCAAGATTTGTCCATTTTGTGTCTCCATGGGTCAATCCAGATCATTTAAAGTTTGTGTGGGACAGTGTGTTTGATTTGTATCTATTCCCAGGTAATAAACTTTCTTAATATCTTAAACAAACATTATCAGCCAGTGAAGCAAAAGAGTTTTGTTAAATTTTTCTAAGTAAAATAAACTAAGATTTACATTCATGACAAACTAAAAAATTATAAATAAACATAAGTTTTATGTTTAATTTCTTTTAAATAAAGTTGACCTTAATAATTAAGTAATAATTCAGAAAAGTTTGATATTTCATTTTGACATGTGACAGTCAGTACTATCCTTTTCTGTCATTTGGTACATAACCAAAATTTTAAATTCTGTTTTGTTAATACATAGGTTAAACCATCGAGCAAACAGACAAAAGAGGGAATCTAATCCTTATTAAAAGGAGACCAAAAAAGTGGCCTCTGATGGCGGACATATCCGGAAATGCGAATGCGCCAAATTTAAATTTTCCGACACTTTTTTTCAGAATGTGTCTTAGGCGAGAAAGTTTTAATTAATTATTAAGGGTAATAGTCTAAAATGCGACACAATTGTTAAACAACTTCAATATAAATAAGATTTCATACGACAGTTGGAACAAACAATAACATAACCCAACTAAATTTGATTTCTTAAACAAGGAAAGACTCTCTTTCCTTGTTTAATGTGGCCTCTCAAGATGGCACTTCCTGTCTAACAATATTTTTGCCTCCATTACCTTTACATTCCCTCTTTTGTCTTTTTGCTCGATGGGTTAAACTCTATGTACCTAAGTAATGTTGATCAAAATTAGGATATTTTGATTTATAATAATTGTTTAAATTGCTACAAATAGCGTCAATGTAAAGATTGTTAATAAATTTGGATAATTTTATATGTAATAACTGCTTATGTGAAATAATAATAAATATGTAATGTTTCTCTGTAAACCAGGTGTTTAAAATTATTTCTTTTAAAAAGATTTTCAACCTTAATTTTTTTTAGGAAAGAAAAGCCTTCCTTTCTAACCAGCAAGAGAATTTTTTAAACGGCGGCCCTTTTAAATTGTTAAGGAATCTTCTTGTACATTGTTGCCCAGGAAATCTTTCTAAGTATTTTTTTTATTTGTGCAGTTTTCCCAGTCAAACAAACCAAGTCCAGCAAACTTTTCAGTTTATTTGCTTACCCTATCTCCAAGCTCAGTAAGTGTTCAGTTCTCCTTTCAACCCCCTATAAGCAATTATATATTGTTACAAGTGACACCCAACGTGGTAGGCAAATAATATTGCTACAACATACAAAATGAGAGGCTAGGGATACAGTGAGGGAACAGTCTTAAAGAACATGATATATGAAGAAGAAGATTGTTCTACAGCTCTTAGAGGGCCTCGAACTTCACAAGTTTAATGCGCCATACTGTTCTGCTTTCCAGTTAGAAACAACGATTTCCTCAACATCTTGTGGTCCCCCTATATCAACTTAAGCTTTGGTTATCCTGTTTTCTGGTACCCATCGCCAGTTGCAGGTTTTTAATAAATTTGTTTAATTGCAGTATTAATATATTTTCTGAATAAAACATATTCTGCACTGAACTTGTGCTTATAAATTGTTCTGTGGCGCAAAGTTGTAAAATGGTCTTAATGTTTTATTTTTCCAAAGATTTTGTGTAGTATCTTTCTATCAAAGATAAATACCTGAGATTCGTTGGATTTGGTCAGAGTCAATTTATTTAATTCGTATGTGAGAATCAGGATATAAGCGTTCTGGTATACCAATTCGTTCACTGCTTCAAATACGTTGTTTTCTATAACAAGTGGTCGTAGGATTTGTGCTTGCGTGCTTATTTTCATATACTTCGTTTTGTTGGTGTTAATTATAAAACCCATTTTTGTAGCTGATTCTTTTAATGTTACATACGCCTCTCCTACAGAGTTTTCCGATCCCCTAACAATATTGATATCATGAGCATAGGCCAAGATTTGCACTGATTTAATATATATTGAACCAGTAGTTGTGATTTGTGACATACGCATTACGTTTTCCAGAGCCAGATTGAACAGTATACAGGAGAGAGGGTCTCTCTAGCGCAGCCCGTTATTTGTTTTAAAAGGTTCAGACAGTTCCCCTAAATTCGTACTCTACATTCAACTTTTTCAAGAGTTAGTTTTGTTAAATTTATCAACTGATTTGGTATTCCTAGCTCTTTGATTGCTTTGAACATTTCTCTTCTATTCACAGAGTCGTAGGCTGCTTTGTAGTCTATAAATATGTGATGAGTATCAATGCCATACATAGTCCAGTGTTATTTCCGAAAATTTGTTTCAGGGTTACAATCTGATGAATTGTCGATTTATTGCCACCTCTGAAACCAGTCTAATATTTTCCTACTATCCGTTCTGCATACGGTGCCATACGGTGACACAGTACTGTGAAAAATATATAATACGCTGCATTTAGAAGCATAATTTTTCTGTGGTTAGAGCATTCAAAGATATTTCTTTTTTGTGTATGGTGCAAAGTATTTCAGTATTCCAATCATTGGGGAGGGATTCCTGTGTCAATATTTCTTTTATAAGCATCTATAATGAGTATGGTATCATGGCCACCTTCTTTATATAGTTCAGCTGGGAGATTATTCTGAGTGATTTGTTTCTGGCTAGTTTTTTAACTGCATCTTTAACTTCAAGAATCATTGGTGTTTCCTCTTCCCTCTCGTCTGTTTCCCTTACCTCATCTCTTTCGTTTTCCAGGTTTTCTTCTTCTTCCGCTATATTAAGTGTCTGGTTAAAGTATTCCACCCATCTATTCACTACATCTTTCCTTGTTTCTGATATGTTGTTTTCCGATCAAAAATAGTTATTGCCCCTTAACGCCAAGCTGCACCAATGAAGTCTATAACTTCATTTGCTTTGGCACAGCAAAGCTTTTCAAAAGGTGGTTTTATATTATAACTAACCACTCTAGTAACCACAAATAACTAACTAGTTATTTGCTATATTCAGTCGAGACCTGTATTTTGTCCCTTTAAAGCAGTTTTCAGTAGAGAAAAGGCATCATCCAATTTTCCCCTAAAATTCAAATATAGATTACTACTAAATTCTCTTTGATTTCGCCGATTGCAGTAAAGTCTATGAAGATTTTTTCTTCTACAATTAAGAAACCTTCTGGAGTAGCTCGAAATGTACCCCTAACCCAGTGGTACCACGCATTTGGCAGAATAAGATCTTCACC